GTCGATTAGGCGATTAAGCTCTATGGAGAAAGAATACGTATCGACCAGGCGAGAAGGGGACCAGGCGATCGTTATTGTGTGAAGCAGACAAATCAACACGTGTCCTTTTTTCTCGCCTGCTCTTCCGCTCGCTTTCTCGCCTAGTCGCCCAATCGATGCCTAGGCTTTTCTCTATATATTTGCCCAATCGCCCAATCGCAAGTTCGAGTGCGAACCATGAACGCTGCCAAGATGCCACAGTCTCACAATAGCCGACGGTTGCGGAGCGTTTCGTTCCCAACGAATAACTCGGCCGCACAATGTTGTCACCGCGCGCGAGTTGCATGCCACGCCCATCGGGCTGTCCTTCGAAATGAAGGAGAACTACCGTGGGTGGCAGAGTTCGTAACACAGTCGCCGCATTAGGCCGATGTCAGACTTTGCGAATCGGATCCCTAGCGTCCGCGCCAGCGATCACTCGATTCGCAAAGTCTGACGTCGGCCGGACCAGCGAATCGCTCGGTTGACTGATACCGCAACGTGGCCGCAGACGCTGACCATTGCTCGATTCGCAAAGTCTGACATCGGCCTTAGGAGGAAACGCCCGTCTCTCTTCTCTACCTCCTCTCCACGTTAACACTGTGTCTCGTTTGTCGCTGACCGTCAACGACAGCCCCATCGCCGAGTATAATCCCAGAATTGGAGCTACTGAATCGCTTACCTCCATAGGATCTGTATCACCGTACTCAACTCGCCAGAATATTGACTCAGTGCTATCGTCATGCTTTGCTTTTCGACATGTGAGCGGGAAATGGAATGGCTGAAATCGTGTCTAGAAAGTTTACTATTGGGCTTGCAAGCTGAGTGAGCATGCCAGAGAGGCAGCGCATCGAAACCACCAAGTATTAGCGTTTATCAAAGTGAACTCACTTTCCCTAGGCTGTTCTTATACGCCATGTATAGATATGCTCGGTCACTGAGAGGATCATCAATTCGATAGTAGAGGACAAACGATGACGGATCAACCTTGGCGGCTGCCTTGAAGATAAGGCGTAAAGTGATATCAGGTAGAGCACTAGGAAGTGGCCCTACTTAAACGAGAGTGAAACTTGCCGTACCTCCTTCGGTGAAGCTCCACCGATGAATGTTTCCTCAAGTTCTGGCTCAGGTCGGTGATAGATCTTAAAGTTAACATCTTAGATATCTGTACTGTCCATTATACAAAACTAATGCTGCTAGACAGTTTATCTACGCTAGAACCTTTTTCGAAACCACAACACCAGCGCTGAATAAATACCTAAAGGCATGGTACGGGCTACCCTCACTGAGGTAGTCGTCTGTGAGTAGAGCTGGGTGGTTCGCTACTGCAGAGGTCGGCCCACTTTCGCACATCGGAACGGGTCTCAAATGAAAGACACTCCGGTGCTAATGGACTTGGAATCAATCCCCACCAAACACATCAGGGTGCCGCCCATAGTCCACGCATCTTCTGGTCAACACAACCTGATCAGCTGCTCTTTCGCCTGCGACTTCTCGATCCTCTTCCCTCCCCAACTCACATTATCTCTCATTTCCGCACCTGCGTTGGCTAATATTCGTATTCTGGTTTGACTCATAAAAATGTTGTTTCCTCTGCGCATTTTCTCAAGTGCAGGTGAAATTTTAGTAGTATGCAGAAGAAACGGTTTAGATTAGACGGTATCCGAAGTAGTAAACTATGGTCGTTTGGCCCTCAAAGTAATAGTTCACCATGTCAAAAAAGTGTTTGGGCATGATATCATGCCAGGGACCACTTGGATGCTACTGTTGGCTGGGCCCGCACCTCACACTTCCCTGCCGGCGCTCATTCTTGCCCCTGCTTTGAAGACAGAATTTACCAGGAAAAGTTAGCTTATTGGAAATTAGTGTAGAGGTGGTCTGGAGCAGGAATGAAGAAGAAACGGCCAGAACCCGAGAAATGGACCCCTTCCTTGCCCGTTGATTTGAGCATTGATGCGACTCTCATCGCTGTGCCCTCTTCAACACTACGCTCTCTCTGCTATCTAATCACTCGCCACGTATAGACCTGCGGCGAGTGATCAGATATCGGTGGGCGTACCCCGCCAACCGCGCCAAGAGTGAGCCATGCTAGGTCGCCGAGGTCAAATCTTTTCGCTACCTATTGCGCGTCGGATGCTCACGAGAATCGTCATCTCTAACATATGCAATTTTCCTCTTACGCTGTCCGTATATTTCTCCTTACAAGGCCGTATTACGAAAGGTGACGAAGCTCCTAATTATGGCGTTTCAGCAAAATTTCCTTTTTTTCTTCATTGCTGGCCCATCATACCCGAACACTCTTATATACATGTGCAAGGAACCACACTAGCTTGCTCCTGAGGTATGGCTTTAAAAGCACAATCATCTACAAGAGTTATTTTGACTGTGCTAGGACAATGACGGGATGAAGCGCGGTGAAGCGGGAGGGCACAGCGAATGAGAGGGCGTCAGACGATACCATACTGCAGTCTAGAAAAATTGAAGCAGTAGAAGCGCTCTCTACAAGACATGCCATTGCCGGGCAATTTTCATGAGGGGCAGTGTAATATAGCTTATTTGTTCCTTTGGAGCTCTATCTGCACAGACCGAAACCGTTCACATCCGATGTCCGTTCATTGCACGTGGCTCAGTCCTCGCTGCTTGCGCTGTGCCTTTGCGAGGGGGCCCACACAGCGTCAACACAGACGGAACAAGGAAGCAGACTCAATGTCGATGCCAGTTACATAGGAGGTAAGCAAACCAGCCCTTTTGGCGTTTCGGCTGGGACCGTATGCTGAATGTTGGGGAGGGGATGGGGTCCCCAACGGTCGACGGTTTACTTCAACTCGGTTGGTACGATAGGAGAGTACTGACGCAAGTGGTGCAGCTGGTCCAGCAGCTCCGCCAGAAGGGCTGGTTTGCTCACCCCAGGACTAAGCCTTGGAGAGGGGACGGACCCGTCCTCTCTTTAAGGCTTAGTTCTGAGGTAAGCACCAAATTGTGGCGGTTCTAAGGACCGAGTTGAAGTGGTCCGTCCACCGTCGGGGACTCCATCCCCTCCCCAACATTCAGCATACGGTCCCAGCCGAAGCGCCAAAAGGGCTGGTTTGCTTACGTCACCTCTTTCCATAGCAAACTATTCATCGATGGGAGCGCGGGAGAAAACTAAAAACGGCTACTTGGCCTTACTGTAGCGATATTTACAGCGTGTGGTTATGCTCCTACAGTAAAGTACAGTACCTACAGCTAAAGCACCTCGTACAGTTGCGGTGAAAAGTCTGCGCCGAAACGATTTGTTTGTGCTTTGTTTTTCCTTGCCTTACCAGTCCCTCCAAATTTGGATATGTTGCGCCTTCAACTTTATTTGGAATCTCTGAATTCTAAGGATTCAAAGCTTTTGACCTCTACTGTATATTTGATTTCTATTGGTCAGGGCCGTCGATAAAAATTGAAACAGTACCAATGCGCTTGCAATTCTTCGCGGACTGGAAGAGTAGACGTCACTATAAGTTGACGGACCCGGTGAGATTAGAGGAACCTAAAATATCTAGGTGGTAAGATGAATGCCTACGCTAACCTCAATATTCAACAAACCTTATCTGGAGCCGTACGTAGCAGCTTCTCGAATTCGGCTCTTGTGCGAGGTTTTCTCTCCGGCCAAACCAAAAGCTTTTCGTGATTCACCTCAAATTTTTGTATGTGTGTGATTGCCGTAGGAACTTATGAAAGGTAGCCAACCGCCTGTGGTCAGGAAACTTGAGCGCGGTCCTGCCACGGATATCTCTGGTACGGATTTT